CTATTGTTAAAAAAGCTGCTAGCTAAAGGGATGGAGAAAGATAAACCATTAAGGGCGCCTGGGTGGTTCAGTAAGGGTCTGCCTTCGGCTCAGGTCATGATCCCAAGATCCTGGGATCAAGCCCCGCATTGGGCTCCCTGCTTGGTGAAGAGCCTGCTTCTCCCTCTCTCTCTGCTGCTCTCCCTGCTTGTGTTCTCTCTCTCCCTCTCTATCAAATAAATAAACGAAATCTTAAAAAAAAAAAAAGAAAGATAAACCATTTAGATAAACACTAGTCAAAAGAAAAGTGGAGTGACTATATTAATTTCAGACAAAGGAGACTTTAGAACAAGGAAACTATCAGGGATAAATAAAGCACTATATAAAGGGGATAAAGGGACCAATTCTTGAAGAAAACCTAATAATTTTAAATGTGAATGCACCTGACAGTAGAGTGTCAAAACGTGAGGAAAAACTGACAACTGAAAAGAGAATTAGAAAAATCCACTATCATTGGAAACTTCCACCACTCCCCTGTCAATTGATAGATTAAGCAGGCAGGTAATCAATAAAGATGTAGTTGACTTGAATATTACTATCAATCAACTTGATATAATTGGCATGTATGGGATACTCCCTCCAACAACAGTAGAATACACATTTTTTTCAAGCTTACATGAAACATTTCCCAAGACAGACCACATTCTGGGCCATAGAACACACCTTAACAAACTTGAGTAACAAACAAATCATGCAAAGTATGTTCTCAGATTACAATGGAATTAAACTGGAAATCAGCAACAGAAAGCAGCAAACCCCTCAAATCTCTGGAAATTAAACAACACATTTCTAGATAACACATGTGTCACAGAAGAAGTCTCAAGAGGGATTTGAAAATATTTTAAGCTAAGTGAAAATGAAAATACAATTTATCAAAATTTGCGGGATGTGGCAAAAGCAGCAGTTCGAGGGAAATGTATAGCATTAAAAGCATCCACTGGAAGAGAAGTCTAAAATCAATAATATAAGTTTCCATCTTGGGAAATTAAAGAAGTAAGAGCAATGTATGCCTAAAGCAAGCAGAAGAAAAGAAATAATAGAAATTGCAGCAGTAATAATTGAAATTTAAAACAGCGAAAACAATAGATAAAATCAACAAAACCAAAAGGTGTTTCTTTGAAAAAAAAATAAAACTCATAATCCTCTAGCCAAACCAAGAAAAAAAATAAGAAGACACAAATTGTCAGTATTAGAGATGAAAGAGGGATCATTGCTACTGTTCCTGTCAACATTAAAAGAAGAATGAAACAAAGTCTTTGTGGTGATATATGCTTTCATTTCTCTTGGGTAAAAAACCTAGGTGGAGAATGGCTGAGTTGTATGTCAAGTAGATGTTTAACTTTTGAAGAAATCACCAGTGTTGTGTGCAGTGGTTGTACCATTTTAAATTCCCACCAGCATTGTGTAAGAATTTCAGTTGTCCTACATCCTTACGCATACCAGATATGGGCCATCTTTTTAATTTTAGCCATACCAATAGATGTATAGTGGTATATCATTGTGGTTTTAGTTTGGATTTCCCTAATGACTAATATTGAATTACCTTTCTGTGTGTTTATTTGCCATCTGTATGTCTCTGATGATGTATATAAATCTTTGGCCAATTTCTAATTTTTTTTAATTATTGAGTTTTGAGTGTTCTTTATATCTTCTGGATACAAGACTTTTCACAGATATATGACTTGTAAATATTTTCTCCCAGTCTGTGGCTTGAGTATTTTTTTTTTATTTTAACAATATCTTTCAAAGAGCAGAATTTTAAATTTTTGTTAAGTACAGTTCATCACTTTGTTAGTTTATAAATTGTGTTTTGGTGTCATATCTAAGAAATCTTTGCCTAATCCAAAGTCACAAAGATCTTTCTCCTATGTTTTCTTCTAGAAGTTTTATAACTTTACTTTTTTACATTTTATATTACAGGTTTATGATTTATTTATATTTAGGTTTAAATTTAGGTTTTACATTTAGGTTTATGATAGTTTTAAAATAGTTTGAGTTAATTTTTTGTACATGGTATGAATAACTTATAAAAGTTTTAAAGATATGCAATTATTCCAACACCATTTGTAGAAAAGACTATTTTTTCTATCCTTTTACATGTATCCTACTCATGTTTCTATATTTAAAGTAGGTTTCTTGTAGGAATTATATCGTTGACTCGAATTTTTATCCAAACTTGGAATCTTTGCCTTTTATTCGGTGTTTTTAAACTATTATTTCTACCTATCATCTTGATATTTTTTCTATTTGTTCCTTCTGTTCTTTGTTCCCCCTTTTATCTTTTTCTGCCTTTTTTTGCATTAACTGTGTATCTTTAAAATTAATCCTCTTTATCTCCTTTGTAGGCTTACTAGCCATAATTCTTTGCTGTTGTTGTGTTGTTTTAGTGGTTACTTTGGGATTTCCAGTATACATCCTAACATCTTTATTTGGTGTTATACTACTTGCCCATAATACCTGAAACTTAACAACAATATTCTTGCACCTCTCTTCTCCTGGTGTTTGTGCAAGTTTTGTCATACACTTTACCTCTACATATATATTGTGAGTCCTACAATACATGTTACTATTTTTGCCCTTTTTGTTTGTTTTGTATGAAATGTTCATGGTTAAACAAAATGGTTGAGAGATCCCCAAGTTTCAATCCCAGCTCCACAGCTCCACCTACTCTGACATGGGGCAAGTTCCTAACTTCACTGCACCTAGGTTTTGTCAATTACAAGATGGTAACAACACCCAGGGCTTTGTGAGGATTAAGAGGAGATGTTTGTGAAGTGCTTAGAGCATAAAGAGAGTATACAATTAAACAGGAGTTTTAAAATGATTTCTTCCCGGGCGCCTGGGTGGCTCCCTTGGTTAAGCGACTGCCTTCGGCTCAGGTCATGATCCTGGAGTCCCGGGATCGGGTCCCGCATCAGGCTCCCCGCACAGCGGGGAGTCTGCTTCTGCCTCTGACCCTCTTTCCTCTCGTGCTCTCTATCTCTCATTCTCTCTCTCTCAAATAAATAAAATCTTAAAAAAAAAAAATGATTTCTTCCCTCCACTGAACTCCTAGGGTCCGTGTTCCATTCAATTAAGCAGCAAGATATTACAGGAACTATGAGCTCACAGCCATATGTAGGCCAGGCAAGTGCCATGACGATGTTAAGGAAACTATAGCGTCTTTTATATTGTTGTCTTCTGCTGCAGTTTTTTCTCACAGACCCATATGTTTGCATATTAAAATGTATAGGAATAGTCTTCACTCCATGAAGAAACATGTTTTCTCTAGGGGTTATATTCAAAATATTTAACAACTGGCCTATAACCTGGGCTTTCCCACTGGGTTTCTAGGGCCGTGGGGCAGCCCACAAGGGCCCAGCAATGGTTATTTACAAACCAATATGGAAATATTTCTTACTAGCCTATGCCAGCTGAGTATCAGCCTTGGTTCTCTCCCATTTTTTTTTTAAACATGCAGCTTCTTGGTCTGTCCCTTGTTTTCCTGTTTTTGATAGAGGCATGAGTACAAAGAAACCATCTTCCTCTGTAAGTGCCTGCCCCAGCTAAAGCAGACAGCCCTCATTCAGCTCTCACAAAGCATTATCTTGTGCCACTGGAACTTTAATTTTTCAAGAGAAGCTAGAAATGCGAATTTTTGTGCTGAATCTTTATTGTTAGCTCAATAATTTTTAAATCTCTGTGCGGGTCAAACACTGTGACCTCCGGCTTATTGAATACATATTATATTCCAGGCATTGTAAGAGTTAACAAAAATATGAATTCCTCCGCGAAGGGACTAATCATCTGATGGAGAGGCTGACAGGCAAACAACAGTTAATTTTATAGTAGGATGGTGGGGGTGTAACGTCTTGTATAACTAGTAACTTTTTCTTGTGTGTATGTCTTATCACTCACTCAGACACAAGGATGCTATGCTCTGTCCTCAGCACGAAGTGCCTGGCTCATAATGTTTTGATTGAGTTGTCCTAATGATCTCTTACTTAATCTGTACAGCTGATGTGCACATAAGATAACATTGAGGTACAGCTATTTACATTAAGTCATCATCTCTGCATAATCAGTCTGATAATGAGCATCTTGCAGACAGTAGACAAGGAATAAGCCCTTCTGGAATTGAACCAACCTGATCTGTTAAGTAGTAGTTGGTTAAAGACACAAACTACATGTAGGGGGAGCCTGGGTGGCTCAGTCGGTTAAGCATCTGCCTTCAGCTCAAGTCACGATCTCAGGGTCCTAGGATCAAGCCCCACTTCAGGCTCCCTGCTCAGCGGGAGTCTTCCTCTCCCTCTGACCCTCCCCCTTGCTCGTGCTCTCTCTTTCTCTCTTTTGCTTGCTCTCTTTCAAATAAATAAAATCTTAAAAGAGAGAGAGAGAGACACAAGCTATATGTGAGAACAGAGCAGAAGGGAAATGTGAAAATGCAGGGCATCCGTATGAGACTCATATGGGAAATCAGATTTGGAAGTCTGCTATGACTGGCACCTCCTTCCCAGCCTTTATGTTCTGTGCCAAATGGGCCTCCTGGTTACTCTCTGGAATCAAGTGAAATACAAAGCTGGAGACCAAGACCCAATTAGATTCTTTTTGTCAGAAAACAAAACCTCGCTACAACTTATTACCTCTGAAAAATAAGCGAGTGCCTAGAAATGTTACAGGATCAACAAGAACTCTGGAGTGTTACTACTACTGATCGCTCTGTTCAGCTCCCTCCCGGCCTTTTTCCTCCGCTGGCTCAGAACATAGGTATCTGTTTGCATGTGGCTCTTTTTTTTCCCAAGAACGTCTGCAACAGAACCTTTTCCTTCCTGCGCGGTGGGTCGTGCGCAGATCCCTGTAGCCTCCGCCGTTCAGCCTGTCCTGCACGGACAGCCCCGGCAGGGTGCCTCCACTGTCTGACCTTGATAACCAACAGTAAATATCACCCGTGTGTATTTTAACGTGCTTTTTCATTTTAACAGGACTGTGGAAACTGAAATCATTACAGAGTCTGGATCTGTCCTTCAACAGGATAGCGCAGATCGGTTTGTCTGACCTTAGACACTGCCTGCGGCTGGAAAACCTCTACTTAAAGAGCAACAAGATATTCAGGATTCATCCAGAAGCCTTCAAGGACCTCAAGAAGTTACAGGTTATAAAGTGACTTTTAGAGTATTTAAAATACGCAGACATCCGGGCCATTGCATTAGAAGAATATTTCTATGGAAGAGTTTCTCCACACCCAGGAGTACGGGCTATTAGTCAAAAACTCTATTTTAAGGCTCTGCTAAAATTGAAGTCTCTCTCTTGCCTCAGAACTCAAACGCCTCAGTAATGGACATGAATTTTACTCGAACATAATACTCAACCGCAAGAATTGGCACACTATTTTTCTAAATCAAATTAAACCCAACTCCAAGTTTCCACTTACCAGTTGGCAGGAAATTCAATCTGGGTTATAATTGAGGCTCCCGCCCTGAGCTGCAAGGTGGGTCACAGGTCCCTGGGGTCTTGTGCGATCTGGAGCACTTGAGGAGGCCCCTCTGAGCCACCCCAGGCAATGCTGAGCAGCCTGGGACGATATGGGGCTCTGAAGGCCTGCGACACTGTTGCTTCCAAACCCAAACGGGGCCCTAAATAATAAAAATGATCATAATAACAGCCCATACTTGTAGAGTACTTACCACGTACCATATACTGCTCTGAACAAACATTGGACCCATCTCGGACCCCTGTCTCTCAAGCGCCTTGCAGTTAATCTCACTAATGCTGACAGCTGTGAAGGGAAGGAACCCCCCCGCTCCCCGGGCCCCCCAAAGCCCTGCTCCGGGCTTGGCCGCTTCAGCCCCTGCCCCAAGCACTTTCCTCCACCTTCCCCACTCTTCTCTGGGGGATAATTTACAGTCTCCCCGCAGCGCTCCTTTAGAAAGGCCAGGGGGCTTCCAGTGGGACGTCTAGCGGGACATCTAGCTAGGTCTTAGGGAAAGATTCAGTCCTCCATATCCTCCATCACAGTCCCTCACTCTTTAGACAGGCCCGCATCATTCAGTAGAAACCAGCTGCGAGCCACATACGCAATTTTAGACGCTCTAGTAACTAGATTCAAAAAGTAAAAAAAAAAGGTGAATTTCGTTTAGTAATGTATTTTTTAACCCAGTATACCCAGATATTATCTTTTACCCAGGTAACCAATATACAAATTATTAATGAGAAATTTTACGTTGTTTTTCATGCTAAGACTTCAAACCCACATCCCAATGGGACGAGTCACATTTCAATGCTTGAAAAGCCACGTGTGGCTAAGGGCCATCATATTAGACAGCATCAACATAGACAGCTGATTTTCCCCAGGTTTAAGAAAAGCGTTCTTCAAGTATAGGTGGGAGATGAATTTCCAACTGCCACCTGTCAGCCAGGGCCCCCAAGTCCCTCCTCTACGGAAGGGAGGAAAGTGAGGCCGTGGTAAGGTGGGTGGGCTCTGGGCTCAGCAGCCTGGGCTGGCTCTGCCGCTTTGCAGCCACATGATCTTGGGCAAGTCACCACATCTCTCTGTGCCTCAGTTTTCTCCTCTGAAAAATGAAGGTAACTTCATTCCTTTCTCATAGAAGTTTGTGAGAATTAAATGTTTTAATGCATATAAAGTGCTTCGAATAGTACTTGGAATATAGCAAGGTCTTTATTTTTTTTTAAGATTTTATTTATTTATTTGACAGAGAGAGACACAGCAAGAGAGGGAACACAAGCAGGGGGAGTGGGGGAGGAGGAAGCAGGCTTCCCGCTGAGCATGGAGCCCGATGCGGGGCTTGATCCCAGGACCCTGGGATCATGACCTGAGCCGAAGGCAGACACTTAACGACTGAGCCACCCAGGCGCCCTAGCAAGGTTTTTATAAATGTAAACTGCATGTAGAAATTCTAAAGTGGCCACAGTATCCCACCCTCTAAACATACATATCTGATTGTGCCACTTCTTGTTAAAAATCCTTCTGAGCTTTCCCAACAAGGGACTGGCCCCTGCCCAGCTCTCCAGCCTCATGGCAAACCACTCTCCCTTGTTCACTGCACTCCGTTTCTGTCTTCACACCAAGGCTGAAGGATCCCGTGCTGATCCTTTGCCTGGGAAAACTAATTCTTCTGAATCTTTCCAATGTCACTTCCTCAAGCAAACCTTCCTGGGGCCTCCAGATTGAATTCATCGCCCTTTTATATACACTTATAATGTGCTATGTTTTTTCCTCATTGCATTTATCACAACTGAAATTATTTAGCTTTAGGTATGCTTAATTGTTAATGCCTATATCCCCCCAATCTCTTTGAGGACGTACATCATAATCTATTTTGTTTTCTAGTGCTTAGCATATGTCTAATTCATAACACATATTTAAAAACACTTGCTGAACAAAGGAATGAATAAATGGATGATGATCATGAATAGGTATATCACAAATAACTACTAATTTAGCAGTCTAAAACTACACACATATTATCTCATGATTTGGGGGGTCAGGAAGCCCGGCAAGGCCCTGGGTCCTTTGCTAAGGGTATTTCAAGAGGCTGCAGTTAAGGTGTTGGCCAGGGTTGGAGACTCCCCTTAAGGCCCAGCTGGAGATGGACCCACTGCCAAGCGCACGTGGTTGTTGACAAGACTCAGGTCCTTGTGGGCTCTGGGACTGAGGGCTCAGTTCCTTACTGGTTCCTTACTGGCTGTCAGCCTCAGTCCTGTGCCACATGGGCCTCTCCATAGGGCAGTTCACAGCATGGCGGCTTGCTTTAGAGCCTGAAGGAGAGCCTGCTAGCAAGAAAAACATTACAAGCTAATATAATGTCATCAGGGGAGTGACATCACATTGCTTTTGCCATATTTGATTGCTTAGAACCAAGTCATAGGCCCTGCCTGTGCTCCAGGGGAGGACATTCCTTAAGGGCGTGAATACCAGAAGGCAGGACCATTGGGGAGCATCTTTGCTGCAGTAATTATCAGAGCAGATGAGAAAGCCTGCTTAACTTGGCAGTGCTCCCCAGCTCCCCACAAATGAGTTGTTGGATTGCCTGGGAACCTCATTTAGTATACTGTATAGTGATCATAGGTGTATTTGTGTTTGCGATTGCCCTATGTCTGTTATTTCCCTTTAAGTGTTCTGTAGCTAAGTTAAGTTAAGTGTTCTGTAGCTCACAGGTAAGAGATGCTACAGGCAAACTAAAAGTGTTTTTAGCATAAAACATTTAGCCTGAAGAATGTTTGAAATCATCTAATTCTCGCTTCACCTGAACTGCCCAGAATCATACAATTTCTCCTCCATTATCCCTTCTACATGTTTGCCAATAACTCTAAAAACTGGTTTTGGAACTTGATGGAACTATTTGGTACCAGAAAGCTGAATATCAAAATAGATGTTGGTTTTTTCTTTTTCGGGAGATGCATCTAGTACTTGCACTGTGCTATGTGTCTTCCCATGTGGGAATCTTCAGAAGCCAGATAGAGTTTTCAAAGCATAAATTCATCCTCATGTTTAAATGGAACGAAGTAAGTTTCACTGGCATTTCAAATTAGCATTTCTTTTCTTAATCTTTCCCATTCTTCTTAGATGCGATGACTTGTGTAGCAACATTAGTTGCCTCTTCCAATCTTTCTATAGTGTACACCCCTTTCAAATGATGGTGGATGGCTTTTTCTTTAGGCAAATTAGACTGTTCTGCTTTAATCTTTCCTTGGAAATTATTCCTCCTTAATCATTTTATTAGTTTTCTGTCCTTGATCCAGTTTTGTTTTCAGTTCCGTAATTTCTAATATAATAAGATTCTGGGATGAAGAAAATACAGATGTGCACTAAAAGGAAAATAACTACCCGAAGCACATCGGAGTATTCCACTCTGTTGCTGAGGAGGGGTACATAAGAAAGCTATTGATCACAGGAAAGGCCTGACCAAGCGAAGTGGTTCTTTCTACCCCGAGCCCCCAAGTCTCCTCCTTCCTGTTTTCGGCAACCTTCCTTTGGGAGTCAAGACTGCTTGGTTACTCAGCACTGGAAAGGTCACCCTCACTACCTAAGTTCAGGGAGAATTCTGATTCTACACGTAGTGGTCTTGGTCATGGTGCTATTTGATTGTTTGAATCAGTTCTTCTTAGGAATTTATATAACCCAGGATGCCAACGCTGTTTTTTCCCTGATGTTTATAAAACCATTGACCTGGATAACATTCATCGTCTCTGGCTTTCATTCATGGTCCAATTTTCTTTTCCTTTCTTTTTTTTCCCCTTCCAGCAAGGTTTACATTTTCTCTTTTATGATTTTCTGTTCTTCTAACTACCAACCTGCCCCTCCCTAAGCCCCACGACCCCCCACCCCTGCTGCCTCCTGCTGCAGGCCTCCTCCACCCAGCCCTTCCGTCCCGGGCAGTGGGAGCCCAGGCTCCAAGAGAGCCTGTTCCAGAGTGGAAAGCACGCAGCTGTGGAGCTAGATCAGATCTCAACTTTGCCACTCCGTTCATTCATTCCTTTCTCCATTATTTACTGAGGACCCGCTGTGTACCAGGCCCTGGTACTAGGGGCTTTGTGGTATGTACTGTGTGACCTAGCCCAGTTCCCTCCTCTGTGAAAAGGAGGAGGAGAAGGTTGAAGCACCCAGTAGAATGACTGGTACATAGCAGCACTCTGCAAATGGATGGTAGCAAGAGCTACACCCAACTACCTTTCCTGCTGAATCATGTCACGGCCATATCCAACTTCCACAGATCCTGCTCTATGTTTCTAGAGCCACTGAAGCCTTTTTGGTCCCCAGGTTCATCTTCGTTTCTGATTAGACTAGAAAAATGAGTCATCTTGTATATACCAGGTGGCCATGGATGCAGGGAATTGTACTACCACCCTTGAGATAATTGTTGATGCAAAAGATCTCTCTTTGCTACTTCTGGTCAACCACAATTCTTCTGTGTTCTATGTTCTCATGGCCCCGTATCTTTGGTCACTTTCAAGATCACAGTGCTTCCAGAAATTCTCAACCTGGTATCTAATTCTAGACCTTGATAACCACCGGGAGTTTCAGTTTTGTCTGAGCACAAATTACAATTCATAGGAAAGAAGGGAGGGGAAAGGACTGGGCATCTAATATAGGCACCATACTTAAAGCTTTCACATACATCTGACCCTTACAACAACCCTTGGAGGGAGCCTCCTAAAAAGTGAACAGTTTGCTGAGGCTCACAGAGTTGTTAGGGGGCAGAGCAGAAATTTAAACCCAGTATTCTCTAACTCTCAAATCAGGGCTAAATTTGTATTGCCTCCCTAGCAATGTAAACAATACCTGTAACTAGTATTTATTTTGTCTCTAAATGTCTTGATTCACAGACTGCCCTCAACTTGTTTCTTCTCAAACAGGTGGTAGACCTCAGCAACAATGTTCTGACCACCATCCTACCCATGATGGTCATTGCTCTGGAGCTTCCCCATCTGGAGGTGGACTTGGCTGATAACCAATGGCAGTGTGATTATAGCGTGGCAGCCTTCCAAAAGGTCATTTCTGAATCCTGGAGGAAAACATGGAATGTCATCTGCAGTGAGTCTATAGGTAAGTCAGTGGCATCTCGTCTCTCTGAAGTGGTTCCAGCTGAACTGAGAAAAACCCATGAAAAATTTAGTCTCATTGGAAACCATGACAGTCCCCTTGAAAGCAAGAGTGTTGATTAGGGATTAAGTCAGCCTCGGGCTGTGTCACAGAATAATCACTGGTACCTGTTTCCCTCAGTTCATGGATGATTTTCTTCACATGGTCAAAGAAACCTAGTTCAAATTGCTCAGAAACAATTGGATTTGGTCAAAAACAGTAATTTCACAGGGAGAGAAAAGCCCCCAAATGTCACATTTTTATCCCAATTCTTTTTTTTTTTTTAAGATTTTTACTTATTTGAGAGAGAGTGTGAGCAAGGGCACGCACAGGAGCAGGGGGAGGGGCAGATGGAGGGGAAGAAGCAGACTCCCTGCAGAGCCCGGAGCCTGAGGTGGGGGTGGGGCTCGAGCGGATTCCCAGGCCCCCAAGATCACAACTTGAGCTGATCCCAGGCCCCCAAGATCATGACCAGAGCTCAAGTCAAACGCTTAACCAGCAGAGCCGCCCAGGCGCCCCAATCCCAATTCTTAACAAATAACTGATCAAAGAAACTTTTAAAACGTAAAACATGATTAAAGTGTTTGCCTCTGAAAATAACACCATATGTTAACTATACTGGAATTAAAATAAAATAAAATGCTTGCTAACCCTATGAAAGTATAATCCTGTTATATATATTATATGTATGTGTGTATATATATATATGAATGTTTGTATATATATGTTTATATATGTTTATATATGTATATATATGTTTATGTATATATATACACACAAAAAAACACATATATTTCAAAAGTATACTTTGATTGGTTCCCTGACATTCTACCAAAATGCTAGACTATGTTACTAGAGTTGAACATTCTGGAAAACTTTTTTTGCCATTAACTATCTTGGCTAAATCTCAAACTCCTCACTGGATATGGGGGGGGGGGGGGGGGGGGGGGGGGGGGGGGGGAGGTAAGGTTTTTTGTAATGAGTCCTGGACTCTGTTCTGTTCATGACTGTCACTAAAGTAGAAAATGGCCATGCTTACTAGGTTTAGAAGAAATCTATGAATTTTATTTAATTTTTTAAAAGATTTTATTTATTTATTTGACAGAGAGAAACACAGCGAGAGAGGGAACACAAGCAGGGGGAGTGGGGGAGGGAGAAGCAGGCTTCCCACGGAGCAGGGAGCCCGATACGGGGCTCGATCCCAGGACCCTGGGATCATGACCTGAGCCGAAGGCAGACGCTTAACGACTGAGCCACCCAGGCACCCTGAAATCTATGAATTTTAAAGATTTATTTATTTATTTGAGAGAGAGAGAAAGCGAGTGGGCGGAGGGGCATAAGGGGAGAATCTTCCAGCAGATTCCCCACTGAATGTGGAGCCCCAATGGGGGCTGGATTTCCCCACCCATGAGATCATGACCTGAGCCAAACCAAGAGTCGGATGCTCACCGCCTGAGCCACCCAGGCGCCGGGATCACAGAGGTCTTAATGTCAGCCGCCCTGTTTCATTCCTCTGTAAAAACCACACTGGCATTCTGGGTATGGAAGGCAGGATGTCAGGAGCCAGTGAGAAACCTGAATGTTTGTGTTTGCCAGCCCTGGGGCACAGTGAGAAATTGATATCGTGCACATAGGCAGAGCCAAGGCAGGTTGTGCAGGTAGCTGATGGGATGTTCTCCAAAATGTGCAGTAGGTGGAGGAGTCAGAGGAAGGAGAAGTGGTATAGCTGTCCCCGTCTGTTTTCTTTCCTCCCATGAGCAGCAATCAGGCAAGAAGCCTAAGAAACGGACAGCCTCCCAGGTCTCTAAGTAGCAGGCGGAAGCCTGACCGCCAGGTGTAAAAGGTGTAAAAGCACACGTGGCCGGAGACATACTACTGGTTACAACCAATTGATCAGCCAGGAAAGCTGCTTACTGTCATGCAATGTACACCTGAGACATAGCCAGGTAAGGACTGAGGAGGACCCACAGAGCCTTACTTCCGTGTCCACTCACTGTGTGTTTCCCCCCACCCTGCTTCCAGGGAACGAGAAGGCAGACCAGTGGACCCTCCAAAGCGAAATTTCCAGGGAGACCCACCTTCCTCACCATCCTGCAAAGCCTGTGAAAAGCTTCCCGCCTGGCCAAGCCAAAAGGCCCCAGGCAGGCTGGTTTGAGCACCCTGGCACCGTGCAGAGGAAGGGCCCCGCGGGCTCCCCGGCCAGCGAGAGGCCGCGCAGGCTGCCCAGAGGGGCTAGGAGCCCCAGGGATGTGCCCACAGCTGGCAGACAGGGAGACACTTCCCAGGACCTCGCCCTGGCCATCTGCCTGGCCGTGTTCATCACGTTCTTCGTGGCTTTCTGCCTGGGGGCTTTCGCCAGGCCTTTCATTGACAGACTGTGGCACCAGAGATGCGCACGCAAAAGGCCCAGCTCGGACAACGCGGATAACGCGTACTCAAACAAGGGCTTCTGTGGCGACATTGAAGCTGCAGGGAACGCCCAGCACCCGAGAACAGATCAGCCCCTCCCAGGGCCCGCCAGCCCCTGCGCTGCTGTCATCCCCGACGGCCCTCTAGGAGAGGGCGGAAGGGAGCCTGGCAGGCGGCAGAGCAGGGGACCGTGTGGGGACAGCAGAGGGCCAGGAGGTGGGAAGGAGTACATACTTCTGAGTGACAGCGCAGCCCATTCCATTCTCCAAGGACAGCCGAATGCTGGTCATAACCAACGAATTCCAGCAGGGCAGGATCACATCCGCAGGGAAGATGCTCTCGGGGAAGTAAATTACGCAACTCTGGCCCCGGAAGGTTCTCCCAGTGCGCATTCAGCGGGTGCCCCTGTGCGAGCTGGCAGATTGCAGACGGTCTCTGGCTCAATTCACAGTGACTCGAGTGAGTTAAACACACCGCTCTCGGGAGAAATGGCAGCTTCTATCTCTAAAATGCAAACGCATACGAAAGCACAGGGGGCTGGAGAGAATGAGTGGTTACCTTCGGAGTTTTCCAAGGAAATGCAAGTGGGCACTTACCTGAATTTACTGGACGCACGACAGCGAGGGCTCCAGGGGGCCAGTGCTGAGGAAGGGCTTCCCGCCTCCCATGGTGCGGTCCCACTCAGTGACGTGGAACCAGGGCAGAAACATGCTCCTTCTGACCCTCAGTACCCATTGGACAGCAGCTATGATTCTGATTCTGATGAAGGGTCTTTATTTACTCTAAGTTCAGTGAGTTCAGAGGATGCAAGAAATGTGACCGAAGAAGAGGCACATGGTGAGAAGAGCCACAGACCCAGCAAGCCCCCAGAGGACGAGGCCTCGGGGGTGAGGAAGGACAATGTTACATCATTAGAGGACCCTGAGGACTATATCCCCTGCCAGAAGATTCTGGAGAAGGATGAGAATCAGGAGGACTGTTTTGAAAACCCTCTCATTTCTGGTCCAGACTCAGGCTTGTGTGAGACTCATCTGGAAGGTGCCTCTAACACCGACACATCTGAGGGTCCACTGACCCTGCCTGGGTCTCTGGGCAGTAGCAGTCCCTCCAGGGATGAGACCCCAGGCACGGTCGTCTGTGATTATGCCAGAGCTCTCCAATCTGAGGCCGTAGAGTGGCTTCACTCACTTGGAGACTTAGATTTAAATGTAGATGTTGTACCACAAACACCACCATGGTCCGCTGAAGTTCCCTCAGATCCTGATGAGAGCGACTGTCATGAAAGAGACTCAGACATTTGTAAATATGAACCTTGCCTTCAGGAAATAAACACAGCTCAAAATGATGTTCCTCTCAAGATCACTGCCGGTGAAAACTTAGCACCCTCACAACAAAATTCGGAAGGGGGCAACATGAATCCCCACCTAACGGACACTGATGCGAATGAGGGGTTGGTATGCACTCTTGAGGACTCGGATTCCAGAAAGGTTAGAAGCCGCACACAATTGTTACAATCCTGTAGCGATGAAACGGCTCTTCAGTGTGAAAGAGGAGAGGGGGGTTGTGCTGAAAGCCGTTCCAGAAGCCAGGTGCCATTATTACAAGAGCTCCCAAGTGAAACCAGTTCACCAGGAATGCAGGAGCCCTTCAGTGGCAGAGACTGGGGTAAATACTCAGAAGAGAACCTGTTGCAGTTAGAAAATATTCAAATGCAGACCCAGGGCCACCTGTTGGGAGCTGGCTTGCTGTATGAGGACCTGCTCTACTACGATGTGGAACTTGAAAATCAAAGGGAATTCAAGTAACATTTTGAGTTCAGATTGAAGCCCTTAGAACCGCTGAACAGATTTTCTTTAAACAAATTCCACACAGGACGGCACAGCTTTCTGGACAGTGACTGTGAAACTACAAGGTTAGGGGATTCACAGCAACTCTAAATATTTGCTCATAAGTGATGTTAAAAGAGGGACCATTTTGTAGACCGAACTGTAAATTAGAAGTCAGTCTTCACGAAGAGACGTGGTATTGTTTGTAAAAAGGAAAAGCTACCATGCCATTATCCTCAGTTAGCCCTTCCTGGGCGGGACTCTCCAATCTGGGCTGTCAGGAGCTGTGTTCTTCTGTGTATCCTCCTGTTTTTCTGGCATTTTCTCCTTTTCCTTCCTGACACCCCTTGTCCACCTCTGCCTGCCCTCTCAGAGAGCATTCCTCAAAGAGCTGTTCCCGGTCTTTCTTAGGCACCGCTCTCCCTGGGCCCCACCACTTCACCATCAGCCCCATACAGACCGCACCTGCATCGGCGCCGCGAGGCCCGGCCTCCCTCCCAAGCTCCAGACTCACATTCTCAACCCCAATGGCCCAAATCCACATAAATCATCCCGGGACCTAAAATTCATCATTTTCCTTCACAAATGTGATCTTTCTTGATCAACAGTATCATGACATCCACCCAGAAAAGCCAACTGAAATTGCTGCCTTATCTCCAACTCTTTGTCTTGTAGTTCCTGTATCTGAGTAACTTCTAACCTCTGTGCCGTGGAAGTTCGTGTATGTCTATGCAAGGAGACATTTCAGTGTAGCAATCTGGATGGGGCTAGGCAGTTCATGTCAAACCGGCGTTTGCACAGAAAGCACCCTGCTTTTGCTCAGAGTGTATATTTAGGGTGGATTAAGATGGGAGGGGATTGAATTTGGGGAAAGGAACTAACCATCCCCCAATCCACCTGCTGGCATCACCACTAGTCTCATAGGATCTAGCTCCTCAGTGGCTCTTAACTTTGTCATCTCTACTCTCAACCCCCAAATAAGGCACATCCTTATCTAGCTCCTAGATTATTTTAAGGCCTCTTTGTAACCTTTAGTACTTCTCCTTGCCCCCACTCACCCCCCCCAAAAGTCTTATGTTCTCTTCATCTCTCCACTAATCAGAAACCTTCAGTGCAGGTGGCTGGCTGGCTCAGTCGGTAGAGCATGCAACTCTTGATCTCAGGGCTGTCAGTTCAAGCCCCACGTTAGGTGTAGAGGTTACTAAAAAAAACAAATAAGCAAACAAACAAAAACCCAGAAAACTTTCATGCTCCCCATTGCCTATATAAAGACCAAATTCCATAATCTAGATACATCCTACCTTTCCAACTGTATCTCATGACATTATCACTTCACACATGCTGCATTCTGGTTTATATCATTTAGACCAATCATTTATTCATTTATTTTAGCAAACTTTTGAGACCTTCTTTGGTCCCTGATCAGTTTCTCCCGTTGTTCACAATTGCAATTTTGAAATTTCCTTGCCCTTGAACTTTCACTGAGAAAATTTAGGCTGTCAGGAAGAAACCCCCTCATTTCCCTACCCCACAGCAGTACACATTTACTGTCCACATCTACACTCACTCCTTGGCTATGAGCTAAGAAGTCGGCATTCTGCTGTGGTCAAGCTTAATCCCTCCGGTCAGCTCCTGCTACAGTCCTGGGCATGGATCCATTCATGTTTCCCATTCCTTCACTTCCAAGCTTTCTCTGTCTAGTGGCTCCTTCCTACTGACTAAAAGAGTGCCCAAGTCCCTTCAACATTAAAATAAAAGGAAGAGGGGTGCCTGGGTGGCTCAGGTGGTTAACCATCCGACTCTTGATTTCAGCTCAGGTCGTGATCTCAGGGTCCTGGGATGGAGCCCCACATCGGGCTCCACGCTCAGCACAGAGACTGCTTGTCCCTCTCCCTCTGCCCCTCCCCCCACTCATGCTCTCTGTCTCTAAAATAAATAAATAAAATCTTTTTAAAAATGTTTTAAAAATCAAAGGGAGAAAACCCCACCCTACACCTCCCTCAAAATATCACCTTCTGCTCTTTAAATAGCTAGGCTCCTCAAAGGAATGGTCAGCGCCTCTCCATTGACTCCTTGGTGTGCTGCCATCGGGCTCCAGCCCATCATTCCCTTAGCCTGTGCCAGTTGAGGCCACAACACCCTCCAGTTGCTACATACCATGGACTCCTCAGCCTTCATCAAACAAGGTCTCCACAGCATTTGACGCTGGAGACCACCCCCACCTCGAAACTCATTCTGTGGCTTTGTGCTAGAACTCTGTAAAGGTGAGGATCCCAACAGGATGCAGATGGCAAGAAACAGGAATGACTGGAGAGAGGTTAATGAAGGAACTGTTTGAAAAGCTCTAGATGGGATTAAGGTGAACCAGCAAAGGAAGATGAGGGACCTAAGGACTTAGCAACAGGAGGACCACCTTTCCCACCCTTAGGTCTGCAGAGACGAAAGAACCGCAGCTATGCATGCACAACAGGGGTGTGGACTTGGGTAGAGGAACAGAGCCACTAACAATCCAGAATCCAGCAGGAGGAATCACCCAGCTTCTCTCTCTCTCTCTTCTGGCCCTCCCTTCTCTGTCAGTGCCTCCCAGCCACTGACCTCTAGAAGCCAGAGAGCGAGAGAGCCAGTGAGCCAGTAGATGCAGTCCACAGGGGTCACAAAGCAGGATGAAGAAGGGAAGAACGCAGAGTTGGAGGGGCAGATGGAGAATATCCAGCATACACTTTCTTCTGATTCTTCCACCTCTCTGGTCATTCTTCTTCGGGCTCCTTTCTACCTCTTCTTTCTATGCTCACCTATTGAATAGCTATGTTTCCCAGGGTGTGGTCTTGGAAACTCTGGTCTCCTCACTCAGTTCACGTTCCTGGGGTGAGCTCTCAATTCCACCACCACTTAATTGCTGATATGTTTCATTTCTGTGACTCCAGCTTTGAAATCTTCCTGGAACTTTACGCTCGCATCCAGCTGCCTATGGGACGTTTCTGTAGGCACTTCCAACCAAGCGTGTCCATAATGAAGCTCCTTGGCTCCTCCTAATCCTCCACCACATCTGATCTCTGTGCTCCATTTCACTATCCACCCAGTTGCTCCATCCAGAAACCCTAGAGTCATTCTTTTGACTTCCTCCTCCTTTCTTTCCAATCTAATTCACTGGTCATTAAGAACAGCCATTTCTGGGGCGCCTGGGTGGCTCAGTCGGTTACCCGTCTGCCTTCGGCTCAAGTCATGACCCCAGGGTCCTGGGATTGAGCCCCGCATCGGGCTTCCTGCTCATCGAGAAGCCTGCTTCTCCCTCTCCCTCTGCTGCTCCCCCTCTGACTCACTCTCGCTCTCAAATAAATAAAATGATTTAAAAAAATTTTAATTAAAAAAGAACAGCCATTTGTAGCCCTTTATCTACCAAATCTATTCCCTCCTCTCTGTCCACACTGTTACAGCTTTAGCTCTCACCTTGACCCTCCCACTGGAGCTAGGATAACAGCACACAGCGACACGGGACACGGTCTCTTTACCTCCAGTCCCGTATGCTGTTGCTATATCCCACGTTACCGCCTGGGGAGGGTTTCTTAAATGCAAATACGATCACAAGGCTCCTCTGATTAGAGTCTATCCATAGGCTTCTGGCTTTTCTACAGCCCCACCAAACTCCCTATCCCCAGGCCTTTGCCCCTGTCACATCTGCCCTCAACGTTCTTTCCAACCCCACCCAACAACTCCACCCAAATAAGCCCTCCTCTGACTCAGTAGCCTCTACTCTGTTCTCAGGTTCATGGTCACTTCCTCAGGGAAGACTTCTGTGATCCTCAGATTAAGTTAGATGTTTCCATTACAAACTCTCATGACACAAGCATTGTCCTTCACCCACAGGAGCTTATCACAAGTAAAATTAAGTAGTTATATGTGTGATTATTGATTTAATGTCTGTCTCTGCCCTTTTTATACTATAACCTCCACGAGGACAACAACAACAAAATGTGTCTTATCTCCCCAAGGCCTGTTGTTTAGTACGTTTTCAACACACCAATTTATTAAATAAAGGAATGAAAATAAATTCTTGAGCACGACGTACAAGGATGTCCATGAATCTGGCCCTGCTTTCCGGGCACCACCCCATATTTATTTCATTGTGCCTTACCTCCTTCCTGACCTCCAAAGTCACAAGGGGCCCAGACGATGTCACCCCACCACCCCTTAGCCCGTACTGCTCCCACTTCCTGGGTTGTACCGATGACCTTTCCACTAAGCCCTGCCTCAACTGCTTGGCAAATACCTACTCTGCTTTCAAGATACAGTGTAAGGATCACTTCTGTGAGTCTTTCTCAGCTCATTCTGCCCAAGCAGAGTGGACCACTTCCTTCTTCCCAGGGCCCCCACTGTGCCCCTGCGAATTGTGGAAGAAACATGGCTTCACATGGCGTGAGTGAGATCTTCTAGCGGATCTTCTGTTGGCCAACTTGCAACGGTTGGGTGAAATTCAGTTCTGACTTAGAGTCTATGAAGCAGAAAATCATCTCAGGGTGGGCGGTTATTTTATGAGGTGAAAAATTACTTTCTCTTCTGGCAAATACACAGTTTTGACTGTTTTTGTTTGTTTTTCTTCACGCTTCCAAAAAAAAAAAAAAAAGGCTTCTGGTAATGTGGCATAAACACCAAAGGGATTGCAGGTAAGTAGCCCCGTTTCTCAGCAAGCGCTTGTAAAAATAAATTTTTACAACCCCTCTCAATGTGCCTGCTGTAAACGTGGCTGACACTGCTCGGTGTGATTGAGATCCGAGGCCTGTGACTTCCAGATTTCCAAAACGGCTCACCTTTGGGGTCTGCCTGCAAACTGCCTCAAATTTGTAACCACCTAAAGTCCCACAGATCTTCTTCACCTCAAGTTTCCCCTCTGTTTTAGCTTCCCTTATGTTGATTAGGTCTCTCGTTCTATGATTGCATAAGTGACCTTTAAAACTTACCTTACTTTCATTAGGATAAATCTG